CCTGCTGGTATTTCATAGGAAGACTAGGGATCCTGCACAGTCCCCAAGGCACAGTATAGCCCATTGTTTTCAACACAAGAAAAAATCCATCTGGATTTAAATGTAATAATGCCAAGGTTACTCTCTCTCTCTCTCTCTCTCTCTCTCTCTCTCTCTCTCTCTCTTGCTGAAATGAGAAAAATGCAGACAATTAAAACAAAAGGAAAAAGACATTCTAAATAATATCATATAAATATCAAATTTCCTTGTGCAGACTATTTTGTATAAAACTTATAATTGTTTAAGTATAATAAACAGGCAAAGGTTTCATATTAACTATGTTAAATGTTTGTGGTTTGTGTAATTCACTGGTGTGAGATTTTGCACAGGCGTGAAAAGAACTTGAGTATGCTTGTTCAATCACACAGGCTTAGCTGCAGTTGCCTAGACTTAAGTTTCTCCAATTGGAGACATCCTTGTAGTCCTTTACTATATCCTTGGCTGCCTTCTTTTGAATCTACAATGAAGAGTGAAAACAACCAACATGCATAGCAAGCTTTTTGAAACCAAAGAAATTACACAGGAATGAACGTTTATGTGAAAGTACTACTTTTCACCCTAATAAAACTCCCAAGATTTAACCAAGTAAAACTGTTCCCCAAACACAAAATTAGTGTAAAAATAGTCTATCAGGATAACTGTTTTACTTTTACACGCAGAGACTGGACTTGAATTTTGAACTTAATGTCATGCTGAGCAGTAATGATAGTGTTTTGTTTTTTTTTTTTTGTGCTTGTGTGTGTGTGTGGCTATCATCCCAAACCGACCAAAATTGGTGATGATTAACTGAAGGAACAGTTAATTACATACGTTGAAATTAAATCTCACTATTGTATTCTTTTTGAAAAATATTTTTTCTATGGGATTCTGTAGCTGATTTAAGAATTTGGAGAAACTAGCAGATTTTGTAAGATATAATATGAATGAGGACATTATCAAAAATAAGCTGGTTCTTGAGGAGATACAACCCTAGAACACATCTGTGCTCCACATTGGCTTGGTATTTTACAAATTTATCACTAATCTACAAACCATCTCTTTCAAATATGTGTGCATCATTTTCCCCTATTTGGTCCCAGAAGTCTGAGTTCTAGATCATCACATTTTTTAATATGATGCTCTCTGTAAGTGGTAAAAGCAGATCTGAAGTTCAAGCTCAACACTCTTCAATGTGCTCATGTTTAGTTTCTGTTAGACTTTGTCCTAGTCTGTTTCTCCATTGCTGTGACAAAGTACTCCAACCAATACCAACTTGGGGAGGAAAGGGTTTATTTGGCTTATATCTCCCAGGTCACAATTTAACAGGGAGCCCAAGATAGGAACTCAGGGCAGGAACATGGAGGCAAGAGCTGGAGCACAGGCCATGGAGGAGTGCTGCTTACTGACTTGGGCCCTTGGCACCTGCTCTGCCTGCTTTCTTATACAATATAGAATAACCTGCTCAGGGGTGACACCACTCATGGTGGTCTGGACCCTCACATCACTCAGTAATCAAGAAAACACCCCACAAGCATGGCCATAGGCCAGTCCAATGGAGGCAATTCCCCAACTGAGGCTTTCTCTACTCAAGTGTATCAAGTTAACAACTAAAACTATCCAGCACAGACTTCATAGGAAATTTGATACAGCTGTCCTACTTCTTTACATGTTTGGAATGAATGACATTCATCTTCCCCAAAGAGCAAGATGAAATTTATTAAATAAACATGTATGACCATCAGCTCTAGTTTTGAGATTATTAGCAGAGTAACATAATTTCAAAGCATAGTTTTCTAAGGATACTATCTTGTAATCACAGTTCACAAGAGATTTTTTTAAAAAAGAGATTAAATAATCAATGTTGATTTAATTATCCTAGGACAATTATATTCTCTTAATCTAATCCTCAGTAATGTAGAACAGAACCTATTAGAATAGAGTGCCTTCATTTGCTCCTCTTAATATAACCTTCTTTGAACACAAAACAGGACTGACAAGGATGGCTCCTGGAGACCTTCTGTTCTTTCATTTCTGGTGGGTGGGTGAAATCCCTCTTCAGGAGGAGATACTTGTAACTATTTTCATAATTAAAATGTATGTTATAATGTTCTCCTTACACAGTGGAGATAACAAATGAAATAAGAAAAACCCAAATAATTTCTAAATACTTATCTTTACATCCATAGAAAAATGCTTCTCTTAGTCTTAATTAGAGAAACTTCCCTTCACAATGAAAGGCTTGAAGACAGAGACATATCCTGCTCAAGAAACCAAGAATAAGTGACAGTTGACAGTTCAGCTCTCAACCAGACTCATACCACCTACTCTAGGCCCAAGGAACAGCACAGAAGAGTAGGGAGTGGGGATATAAGAGCTGGAAGACAGAGAGAAGAGCTGGGAAATGCTGTATTGTGGGCATGACACAGCCAATGCGTTCATAATGTCACAGTCACAGTAGCTTCCAGTGAAGAGCTTGCAGAAGACTGAGGCTGTCAATAGTCAACCAGGGAGCACCGACCCCTCCCTGCTGAACTATGGGTTATTGATGGATTCCAGGAGAGGGGTAGCTCTTGTTTTCAGTTGTGTACCCACTGAAACCATACTCCAATTAATAGTAAAAAGGTCATGGTCACACATATGCTTCTGGTTAAAATCAGTGGATCACAAAATAAATTAAAAACCATGATTGAGTGGGGAAATAGACCGGAGTGGGAGAAAGAAAATAAGGCGGCAGTAATCAGAGTGCATTTTGTGCATATACATACAGCTATGTACAAAACTGTGAAAAGATAGCCAAAGTCTACATAACAAGAAACAGTGCCAAACAGGATAAATCTTCCTTTGAGTTGTGGGTCAGGATGGTCCAAGAGACTCCCCAGTTTACACAGGCTATTGCCACAGCCCTTGATTGCCTCCCAGAACTTGAAGGTAAAAGCCTACTGTGGAAGAGAAGTGACAGTTGGACACAGGATTTGGAGCAATGGGGCTGGAATTGGCCTGGAAGCCACATCCCCTGAAGAAGTGAAGAAGCTTTGGAGAGCACTATGCAAAGTGCTAAGGGAGAACATTGAGTGATGGTTCAACACCAACTTCAGCATCAAATAACCATATTAAAAACTAGCACAGCATATGGCATTGGTGCTGTAATGGCACTTTTATCTTGGGGGCAATCAACAGTTACCTAATTGGACTAAAAGCCTACTCAATGGGAGAAAACAGAAATGTGGTACTCTAAACAAAACCAAATACACATGGCTGAAGACTTCATAGAACTTAGAGAAAACTAGAAAACTGTCATATCCCTAGACTAATGTAATTTCTTACTATGTGCAACATATGTATCCTTTTATTTACAGACAAATATCCCAGTCACCACTCATCAAAGAAGCTTCTTTTGCAGCACATGGAGATTGTTATAGAGTACCACAATTGGTGACACACATTGTCTGTGAATTGTCCTAGCCTACATGCCATCTGCAATTCAACCTCTACACCTAAGCCTCAAGGAACATAGAACAAGAGTAAAGAAGAAGACATCAATGGATCTCTTAATTCTCATTAATGAAGCCCCCTCATGCAACAGAGGGCCAGGAAGATGGAAGGTCACAAATGGCCAAAGTGTAGAGATTGAGAATGCTGGTCCCTTGTATAGGACTTCTGTATTAAACTTGACTCACCCATGGCTCAGGGACCTTTGTGGAAGAGGGGGTGGAAAGAGTCTAAGAGACAGGGAGGAGGTACATGATCATGTGAAAATAGAGTCCTACAAGCTCCTGGAACCCTGCTCATTTGAACCTACAGCAATGGTGTCATCATGAACAAGACTCATGCAAACTCAGGCAGACAAAATACTAGCATAGAACTGGGAAAATGGACAGCAGACCCCAATCTTAGCTGAAGAAAAAATGGCAACTGGTAATTCCTGGGTGAGGAAGAGCTGATCTTCCTAGTGAGGAATTCTAGATAGACTTATTAGATCTCAGTGGGTGAACTTGTTTGAGGAAGATCTAGGGACACTAACTTGACAAATAGGCCTTAACACAAATGACAGAATGTATGAATTCTAGTGGGATAGAGCTATGGGAGGCTGCCCGTGAGGAAGGGAGTATAAAAATAATTAAGAGTAATTTAGATATTCTGTATGAAAAATAAAAAAATCCATTAAAATGTAAAAAAATGAAAAAGAACAAATTTAATAAGAAAGAAAAAAAGAAGAAAATAATTTTGACCCTTTAGAATTAATTCCCCAAGATCTATACCTTTTCATTTAAGTGAGTATGCCTGGTATGCAGCTAAGAGTTACCCCAACTTCATCATGATATACCTCACAAGGCTTTCAAGTATAAAATATATGTAGTTCATTTGGCATTGGTTTTTAAAATTGTTGTCTGTGCCAGTGTACATTCTCTCATTTATGTTTTTCAGTTGCGTTTACTAAATACATATTAAATATACTACACTGGTTCTTTTCAATATTAAAGAGTTAAACATTATCCAGGATTTAATTATGTGTATATTTTTTCTCAAGCTCCCAATTGCATTTTGATGAACTCCTTGGATATTCAATTAACATGTGAATGATTTGCATAAAGTCTGTTTATACTCTATGGACCATTGCAGAATCACTTGATATTTTCCCTGTTATATTAATGGATCCATTTAGTATTGTACTAGTGGGAAATGAAGTCACATAATTGGGAACGACTAAGATATTTTATAGCTTATTAACTTAGGGCTAATTATCTGCATGTTATTTTGCAGGTTGAATTGGAATTGAAATAGTTCATTATACTATTTAAGAGAAATGGCAATGAAAATAGTTAAATTGTTAGAGCAATCTCTGGATTCAATGAAAATGAAAGCATGTATTGGAAGATTTTCTGTAACTTGTGAATAATGTGTTCCCTTTTGATAACTTACTCTTTTCCTCTTGTTCCTTTTTATTTTTATTTTTTTTTTAAATTTGCTGCTTGCCCTTGCAGGAAGTAGAGGTTTGTATACAGCTTTTGTGTTTCATATTCTCATTTTGAATTTTATATGAATTTTCATGTTTTAATTCCTAATATACATTCAATTCTCATTATTTCTTTTCTTAGGATGATTATTTTCGCACTTGGAGTCCTGGAAAGCCATTTGATCAAGGTGAGAACTTAATTATTTTAAAATTAAAATATTTAAATATTTATGATTGTCATACATTAAAAGTAATACTTATTGCCTGGTTGGGCTTTGAAGTGCTAAATGCATAAGCTTTCAGAAATGGAAAATATATATGGTAATTATATTTATTTCAGCATAATAAAGTTAGAAATGAGTTAATTAAGTACATGTTTATGTCAGGATGCCATTTATTTTTAGAAGCATGGTTTAGATGACTGATTTGAGTTTTTGAACTTTATTTTCCATGTCTATCTTTTAAAAATATTTTATTTATTTTGTACGTGTATGTATGAATGTATTGCTCCATGTACCTAAGTGCAATGACTGCGGAGATCAGAAGAGGGCATCAGATTCCCCTGGAACAGGAGTTACCAACAGTTCTTAGCTTCCATGTGGATGCTGGGAATCAAACCAAAGTCCCCTGCCACAGCAGCCAGTGTTCTTAACTGTTGAATTCTCTTGAACTTTATTTCTTTGTAGCCAATCCATGTTTTGCTTACTACCAGGTCTCAAATTTTGATTGACAGGACATGAATGGTTGATAAGCATATGTGAAAATTTACAATGAATTAAGGGCCATATCAGACTGAGGGGCGTGTATTTATTTTGGGCTTTGAGGCAAAGTTAATTACCCCATTTGTAGAACATCCTGGGAGGGAAAAATATTTCTAACCCACTGCAATTTTGAGTAAGACAAACATGTTAATTTATAACGCATCTGATAACATTTTCTTCCTTGGGGAATCATTTTGAAACATTATTTGGTCTTTCCAACATAATATATGCATGTATATTTTAATATATTTTAGTGCTTTATGAATATATATATTATATCAATATATGTTTATTTTTCATTCTGTTTGGGAGGTTGGTTTCATATATATCTTATTTATTTCCAGTTTGGCTTACACAATTTATAAAAAAAATCTTATTTAAGTTTCATATATTTAATCCATCACAACATCTCTGAGTTCCTTTTTTAATGTCTGAAAGAAATATTAGATTGTTGGTAAACTATAATGGTTTCATGTAAGTTAAACCATTTTTGATGAGTGTAACACTGCTACAAAATACAGTATGCTGGCAAAAAATAAATTGCTTTGCATCTCTCCACACTGAATTGTCTGTGCTATAACTTCTCTTCATTAGTGTGGTTAATCATGAGTTGACGCAATGGAAACCAACTGAAAAATAGTTTTAATGAGGACATGCATCTTTTCCAATAAGGTGGAAAACTTATGTTCTGTGTTTACTGTGAAAAATAAAGGTTTGAAACTATTTAGCAAATTCTTGGGTAAACATACACTGGGTTTTAATGGTAAATGCTCCCTTTTTTGCCCTTCACTGTGTTAGCCCTGCTCTGGTTTGAAATGCATTAATTAGGGTAACGGAGAAGACATTGGAAATTGCCATAGTGCTCTCTGCTGCTGGTGTGGGACTCTAGACTGTATCTGCATGCATCGTCTCTTAGCTAAAATTACATGATGCTTTGCTAGGTGCAGTGAAAGAAAAGTGACAGCAGGAAACACGCTTCACGTATTGCCCCACTTCATTATCCATGTGAATTAGTAACTTTTCTCTTTGCTTTTCCAAAATACCTCAAAAAATCAATGTAAGACATGAGAGATTAATTTGGCTCCCATTCTGAAGGTACAGTTCATCCTGGGATAAGGAGGTAAGACTGCTGGTCATACTGTATCCACAGTTAGGAAGAAGAGAGTGACGAACGCTGGTGCTCAGCACTCATTTCATATTTCCTTGTCTCAGTCCAGGTTTTCAGTCCATGGTCTAGTGCCTCCAGCATTCATAATGGGTTTCCTCATCTTAGTTCATGTAGAAACTCCCTCAGAGATAGACCCAGAAGTTTGCCACCTAGCATAGTCTAGATGCTTTGAAGTTGATGATCAATATTAACCCATTAATCGTTATACCATACCAGCTTGGAGTTGCTCACCTTGGTGTCCATCTGGTAGTGAATATTATAATCAATATATTAATAACCAGGAACTTAAATCTGAATATTTTTGTATTTTCCATGAAAAGTTACTTTTTGAGTTAGTTCTCTGCTTTTTCAGGGTTCCAGTGGTATAGGCTTAGGGACAAGAAGTGCAGTTATAGCTTTCTTGGACATTGACTTTTGTAGGAGTTTTACCATATCGTGTCCTCCTAGACCGATGCCTCTCTGAAAAGGGAAAACTAAGTCCAGCTGGTTCATTATGTTGGATTTAATTCAACAGGTCTTGAAGAAAAGGTATGTGAGGAAATCATTCTTAACTCAAGCTGCTGATGACCCAGTGAGAACAGTCAGGAAGGCAACTAACCAAGTAACTAGATTAAACATGTTCAAGGACTGGAAGAGGGTGGATGACAAAAGAGGGTGTTTGAAAGAGCAAATGCTTAGCCACATGGTTATTCATCCATCCATCCATCCATCCATCCATCCATCCATCCATTTCTGTTTTTTCAATCACAATTCATAGGATTCCCTCCTATTCCCATTTGTCCAATCCATTTGCACAGCATCTTAAGCCACAGCAGTCACGACCGTACTTGCCCCTTTGTAACGAACATCTGGTTCCAAAGCATGAACTGGAGAAATTCCATCTGGAGCCTTTGTTCCCATCAATGAATAATCCATTTGCACAGCATCTTTAAGCCACAGCAGTCACGACCGTACTTGCCCCTTTGTAACGAACATCTGGCTGCAAAGCATGAACTGGAGAAATTCCATCTGGAGCCTTTGTTCCCATCAATGAACAAAGCTGTTCATAGTATTATTTTGGAACTTTTTTCTGAAATCTTAAAAGAAAAGTGTTTGAGCACATGCACCCCGTGGTTAATTTTCTCCTTGAAATGCAGTGCTGTACTTGAAATATGGGTTCTATAGATTGGCCAGTGTATGCAGTATTTTTCTCTAATGCCTTAAATCTAACTTGTTTACACATTGTTTGTCTTACACACTCACATGGGATCTCCTGGTAAGATGCTGAAACAATAGATAGGTCTATTTGTACTTCACAATAGAGGCATAGTGTGTCACAATGGTGCTTTGTTCAAGAGTTTGGGGACTTTGGGCTATTTTTGAATGGAAAAATTGGTATTCTCTATTAATATTCATTGGGTGTAATATACAAAGATATTTGCAGTGCTTTGTAAATGGTTTCAATTATTTCAAATGTCAATTTGAATGACTGCGTGCTCTGAGCAATTATTTGATCAATTCACATAAACTGATTTAGAATTTTTGAACCATTTTGGATAAAATCATAGTTAGGACATTCAGGTGCTTACAGCTATGTTAATCTTGCTTGGTTTAATTGCCCAGGTCAGGAGACCTGATATCATAGTGGCCTAGGCTATTACAATAAACTATTCAGAAATTACATTCAACTGAGACACCAATATTACATGCACTTTTACTCTATAACAGATTTAAAATATGAGAACTGCACAGGGTGTCTCAATGAGAAAGATATTTCCTTTCCTTAGCTAGTAGCCCTGACTTCTTTAGCAATGCTAGTATTTAATTTCTTTACAGCACAGTCTGTAAAATATAGCATCCTAAAATTTTTTTATTGTTCTGTTCTGTGCCAAGTAATGGTACCATCTCCACAGAATAGGAAAGAATACAAAACGCATCCGTTTTTAAGTCAAAAGATGCCCGGATAGCTCAGTTGATAGAACATTTAGCTTTTGCAGTGTAGTACTGAGATTTTATTGTTTTCCTTGCATAATCAAGAAAAAACTGAACAAAATTAAAAAAGAAAGGGGAATTGTTATGGCCTGATCGATTTTTGTCAACTCAATTTAACCTAAACTTGACAAGAAGATACTAGATACTTGTGGCATATTAAGATTCATGTTAGGGTTTTTGTGTGTGCTTTCCCCATGGCAGGTAGCCAATGATGGGATCCTCTTGGAGGCCAGTTAGCCAGGGACGGGTAAGATCTTCTCAGAGAGAAACTGATCACGGCCGATCAACCAACAGCTTTGCTCTGGCAGAGGACAACCTAAGACAGGCATGGTCTTTCCATCCCGAACTTGGCATTTAATAAATAAAAAAGGGGGAAATGTTGGGAGCTTTGCTGCATGCACAGCCATTGCTGCCTTAGATTGTGGCAGCCTGCCTTGACTTAGGCATTAAACAAAGAAGACTGAAGAAAGAAGACTGCCACTTTAAGAGCTTCCCAGCTAGCTACGTTATTTTCTTCATGCCACACCATCCTACACAGGTGTGTGAGGAGTGAAATTATACTTATTTTATGTATTAGTAAACTTTGAATCAAATCTACAAAGCACAAGGCTGATTAATTTCACTTTGAAATATTTGGTGATTTTAGAAGAAACTTTATCATTTTAAATTGTGTTAATCAAGCAAAGCAAATGTCAACGTTAAAAAAACTGTGGCTATGAATTCAAATTTTTGGAGGAAATGCCACTTGCCAAAGAAATGATTCTAAGTTCTGTTGGCACAAGAAAATTATTGCATTTATTTTATTTTTTAATTTTATTTCCTTTTATTTATTTTTGGTCTTTCTGAGACAGTCTCACTGTAGCCCCAGCTGGCCTGGAACTCACTATGTAGACCTGGGTGGCCTTCGACTCACAGAGATCTGCCTGCCTCTGCCTTCCAAGTGCTGGGAGGCATTTATTTAAAAAGTAAAATTGGGGCTGGAGAGGCTCAGTGCCAGTGCTTAAGAGCCCTTACTGCTCTTGCAGATGACCCGGGTTCAATTCCCAGCACCCATGTGGCAGCTACAAACCATCCTTAACTCCAGTTCCAGGGGAATCTGAAGCCTTCTCCTGACCTCCACAGCATTGCACAACACGGGTGCACTCAGTGTGTGTGTGTGTGTGTCTCTCTCTCGCTCTGTGTGTGTGTGTGTGTGTGTGTGTGTGTGTGTGTCTACTGATGCCACCGCATGCATGTGAAAGTCAGGGTACAGCTATCGGGACCTGATTCTCTCCTTCCACTGTGTGAT